CAAATTAAAACTTTATGCAGTTTAAGAAGATTAAGGTTAGGGAGTATATTGGCAAAAGCAACTGTCACCATCATGAAGAATTTTCAACAACTCTAATTTTCTTCTCCTATGTCTGTTATGTGTGGAGCAAAATGGAAAAAGATTCATAAAAATATTAAAGTACTTATATAATCTACCATAAAAAGTTTTCACAGGAAAGCTGTGTTTCTTGTAAATCTACATGTTCATTTAATGAGTTTTTGACAATTTTTTGGAAGGCATGAAGGGAATAATGCAAGACTGTTGAGGCTAAAATTTAAATTTTATTAGAAGATCTGTGAAATCTAATACAAATAGACATAGAAACATTTAAGGTTACAATCATTCAGATATATGCTGCAGAAATGGGCCCTCAGTATACAGGGATATGTGGTCCTTCTGTTTAAGAAATATATATTTAACCTTTTACTCTCCTGTAACAAAGTTTTTTTATTTAGGTAGTGTTGGAGTGATGTTGTAGCCACGATGGTTTAGGAATGATGCAAGAAGCAAAGATTTTTTGGGGGGCGGTAATATCTTTCATTGGACCAACTGCACAGTTGGGATAAAGTTAGACAAGCTTTTGAATGCAAGGCATTCTTCACCAGGGCTCAGCTTAGGGCTTGCTTGCTTGTTTGCTTGTTGTGACAGCACTGTAATCTCAAGCTTTTCTTTGCTATATCCTGCGAATGTTCCTTTTTCATGTTAAAATGGATCTGTGGCTCAATAACAGTTTAAAAATGGAAATACTCCTTTAAACACTCAGAATTAGCAGTCCTAATGATATTTTTGCAGACTCTTTCTGATTCCAAACAGTTTTAAAACAAAAGCTTTGGGTAGGATGTAAATAATACCTCTGGGCATATACCAGTCACCAAATACAAGAAGATTTTTTTCCTGTGATTAAGTAATTTAATAACTGTCTATTAAATAGTTTCTTGAACCATCTCAGGTGCTGTCTTGTCTTGGAGACAAGATTATGGACTGAATGGATTAGTCCCAAAGTATGGAAAAGCTTATGGAAATGCCCACTGAACTGTTAAAACGTTCTTTTGGATCTCACTGCTCCATGTGTCCCTGATTCAGTGTCCAGTGGATGGGCTTCTTTCCACTGATTTCAGTGAGCATTAGATCAGGTCCTGTAAGAAAAAAAAGAGAGGCCTCTATGAGCCTGACTTGCACCAGCCCCAAAAGAGAAGGGGAGAGGGAATATTCCTTTAGTAAACATTTTTTTTTAATATAGAGAAAATATTTGTGACCATATTCTAACCATCGACATACCCTAGCCATTGTATATTTGTTACGTGGAAGGTCTGAACCAAAAAGACATAAGCAGAAAAAGCTTTAAGGATCTTGTTGTATATAGTTTTCTGTTCAAAGTTTTTTATGCGATGAAGTTTTTATGTCTTTGAAGACTTTAATCCCATAAAAATACAAAGGGTAATAAAACAAATAGCAGGGTCAGTAGCTGGGAAAAAAATTGCTTTTGATAATACTGGTATCTTCTGTAGGAGTATTGACCAAAAGCTGCGGAACTGCTTTTTATTTTTATCCTCTGAGTAATGTTTTACTGCTGTTGTGCTCTGAGCCAGTCACTATTTGTACACTGTATAGATGCTCTACGGGCATGAGGTGGTGGAAGGGTTTTATTGGCAAAAGCTTATATTGTTCTCAAGGATATAAGGACCATTTAGAATACAGACCATTCTCAAGGACCATTTGCCTAAATGTATTTAGCCAAAAGTGAACTATGCCAGCAAGTGCCAGGAAAAACTCCATGCCACAACTCAGTGCCCCACATTCCATTTAGACTATATATATACATTATAAAATTATTCTCTATAACATAATGGCCAAATGTTAAATACCGAGTGCCTGATATCTGAGTATACAATATTGCCAACTTAATGTGTGCCCCTATCTGCACATGATGTTGGTTAATTGTGAATGCAATTAACTGGGCCTCTGGTTGTCAAAAATGAATCTTTAATGGGGTGGTTTAGTGGTATCTGTGACAGCCCTTTCACTCTAAAATCAAGTTTTGTTCATTCCTGTTCACAAGCCTCAAAGGGACAGGAAAAAAGTAGGGTTCATACAGATATGAAATAGCTTTCCTATAATTTAGAACACTGTTATTTTAAAGTCTGATATCTCTCATCTTACCAGCGCTAGCCACAGAGATGGCAAATATTTATCCCTGGAAAGCTGGAATTCCATCTTCACAAAAGGGAACAATTTATAGCATGATATCTGGTGGTTTGTGATACAATGGACACTTTAAAGCTGTCCAGAAATGAATGCTGTCTATTGTACACTATGGAGGAGTGTACATTTTAATCTCTGCTTTCCCCTGCTCTTTATTTAAGGAAAAAGAAGGCAGGGTTTTGGTTTTGAATGCCTCAGATCTTTGACATTTTAGAAGTTATGCTAGCAGATAGGAATCAGTGGGCAGAGTGCAGGTGATTCCTTAAAAGCAGAGGTGTCAGACTGGACTGGTCCATGGGCCAGATAAACAGCATGGGACCAGCCGCACGGGCTAGATTGGGTCCACAGACACCCCTCTCCCCAGAGGCCAGATCCAGTGCCCACAGAGCTCGCTCCAGCTGGTCAAGGGCTGCACTATACATGGCACCCACTCTGGCCAGATCAGGAAGCAAACCACATGCAGTGCCCTCACCAGACGGTCCTGCGCGCAACGCAGGTCCTGGACTGGCCAGAGTGGGTGCTGGATCCAGCATGTGGGAGATGCCCAGAGCGCCCTCCCCCACAACATGCCAGATCCAGCACCCACTCTAGCTCATTTGGGAGTGCACCATACATGGTGCCCACTCCATGTGCACTGTATCCAGTGCTCACCCTGGACCGATTAGAGCAGGTGCCATATGCAACTCACCTCCCAGGCTGGCTGCAGCAGGAATTGCAGGTGTTGGATCAGGAATGCAGGGCAGTCCTGGACTGGCCCTGTGTGGAGCCAGCACTGGGAGCCAGATAATGCCTTTGACCCCCCTGGTCTAAAAGTACAAGTTACCCTCCCCTTCCCCATGTCCCATCCCCCCTCGCCCAAAATCCAGTCTGAGTAATTGGAAAGGATATAAGAAACTCCACCAGGGCAGATGTGGAAGCAGTTTTCCCCACCGGCCACAGACCCTCTGGAGTAGTCTATAACTCTTGCAGCCACAAACTGGAGAAATGGACCAGATCTTCTCAGATGCACTTTACCTATCAAGACCAGTTAGCACAATTATCCAGGCTGATGGCATGGATCTATGTGTCATGTGAGAAATTGTGTGCGTATAAACTACTTACTCCCTGCATAGATTACTGATATCCTGCCCTAATCTCAGCACAGCACAATTGCACCATTTCTGTTGCATTCAGAGCTGTCTGAAGTCATGGAAGGATGGAAGGATTTGAATCTGAATGCAGTTTATCTCCAAGTTACAAATTATATTCCAGAATTGCATAAATAAAGGAATTGATTCAGTGGGGAACATTACATGTAGCATGGTCTTGCTATTGCAAGCATATGTTTTTCTCTCTACAAGAATGGCCTTATTCTTAAATTTTGCTTCTACTAAAAAATGTGGGTCTGCCTTTTGTGAACAGACTCTCCAGCAGAGCTAAGCAGATTTCATTTGTGAGACATATTGTACTAAAGCAAACAGATCAAGGCACTCTTTTCACTGGATCCAGCATTCTACTTCTTGAAGTAAACTCATATAATACATACCAAAGAACCTGTTGTTTAGGAATATTACAGAAAAGGACACAGAGACTTTATTCTTGGTGACTGCAGCCTTCCATTCCAGCCTAGCAAAAGCAGTTGTCGGTGGAGCACATTACTCAGAAATGCACATTTTTTTTCTTGGGGAATGTTATATCACTGATGGATGACCTTGAGAACTGAAGGAAACCTTGTCAGAGAAATAGCTAGCTGTACCACAGTGGGATTTTCATTGAGTCACTCCAGCTTAAGGAGTCATACATGGCATAAACTCCCTGTTAAAGCATGCACATTTTTCTCCTTATGCTTTGTCTTTGTTGATTTGTGGCTGCTAACCCTGTGCAAGTGAATGTTTATATGAATACAAGATTAAATGGAATGAAGAAATATTGAAGATTTTATCATCCATACTAGCAACAGAGGCTGTATGTCAGCAGCGGACACAGCTCCTGATGAGAAACCTGATTTTACAGCAAATGTAGCTCACAGTGAGCTGTATTTAGAGCTGTATCAGAAACAGTGGTTAATTCCGGTCATAGGCAGATATAGTCACAGTGTTCAATGAGACTGGTTCTGGCTTGGAAATATTGCTTTTGCTTGGAACTGGAATGTCCTATTTTACCCTGGGAGCCCATTTTGGGTGATACTTCCTTATGTTTGGAAGGCCAGCACTACATATTACATAAGCGTGTTTTAAGATGTTACGTGATTCATAACTTTTGTGCCGATACCCTTGTAACAGGGGTGAATGTCACTCTTAATGCAAACTGTGTTTAAATATAATATTTTAAGGCTGATATTCCATGTAGACCCAGTACTTGAGTCACACCAACCCAAGAGGTAATATGAATGCTTTATAGCGTTTAGCCAGAAATCAAATACTGAATCAGGACTTCACATCAGGTAAAGGAAGTGACCTTCAGAGAACATGGAATCAATTTTTCTTTTCATCTTGAAGATAATTTGTCCAAGACTTTTCTCCCCATTGAATACATAGGCTCACTTCCCTGAAAACTGTTTACAAATGTTCTTTCTACATTAAATTGATTTTCTGTGTGTGAGATAGGCAGTGTTTTCTGGAACTAATTTGAATTCCTCTCCAATTAATATTCAAGGCCAAAATATGTTATCTTTGCATGACTGTGCAATTATTAAAGAAAAAATATCATCTGTAAAGGTAATTATTTTTCTTTTTTTCTTTTAAATAGCTGTTCACTTTCTACTGACATGGTATATATCGTTTCTATGCCTTTTTTAGGCTATGATTGAAGAAGCCATCACCAGAGAAGAATCTTTTTCAGTTATGTACACACCATTTGCAACAAAAGCAAAGGCTGACAAAATAGACAAGATGAAAGAAGCTTTTGCTAAAAAACACCCTGACTATGTAGACTACATATACACAGGTAACGGTGCCGTCAAACTGCATTGGAGTGTATTTGTGTATGTCTCTAGCTGACACTGACTTTAGTTTGTGGATGTCTTGGGCCAGATCCTACAAATACTTGCTTTCACATGTGATATAATTCATTCATGTACAGAGGACCAACATATGGCATAGGCTTTGAACTAGTGCCCAGCTAAAGGAGAATTTGACGTGCGATATCCAAAATTTCATTCTCTGTTTTCCTTATTTATAGCATAGTTTTTTTTATAAGGTCAGTTTTTCTCTAAAGGCATGAGTTCATCCTAATCTTTGGAGGAGTTCTGTAGTTGATAGCTCTTGAGGGTATAATGTTTTACCTCTGGTCTACAACATTATCATCCCTGCTGAGCACCATTGCTTTCATCGCTCCCCACAGGTGCTGAGGTTTCATGGCTATGTGAACGGGTGGTCAAGCCTCCTTCAGAACAGAACAAGGACCTTGAGTAGGGTCTAGAAGTGAATAAGGTGGAAGGCCTGGGGGTCAAGAGTGAACAGTTGGATTCTTTTGTGCAACTCCCGTCTGTCATCTCCGGTTAGAGTAAACCAGAGTAGCCTATTCTGGAGTTGCTAAACAATTAAATCCCAGTGACCAGATCCTCAGCCCAAGAGAAATAGGCAGGGTATTCTGGAAAGGAAAAGGTAGAAAGAAAGGAACTCCTCGCCATGATTGCTAATTTAGTAACTGAGAACAATGATGACTGATATGACTGATAAGATTCTGAAGCTTCATGTTATAGTGCCGAAATAGATAGAGGGAAAAGTAATTACTCGATATCAGCTCAATTTACTTGAGCACATTTGTTCATCATCACACAAACCAGCCCTACTGCTAGCACAGTTTGGACAGGTTCTGCAGAAGGTTGGAAACACTGAAATGCTGTTTGCTTTCTAGAAGTGCTGCCTTTAGATCAGAGCTAAAGCTAATTGGTTGGGCCATACGGCTACATTACTCTCCATACTATACTTGCTTTGTTACTATGAACAAGATCTTGAAGACAATTAACACATCACCTTTCAGGAACACTGGAACAAACAAACAAGCAGAGATTAATAAATCCAAGCATTTACAACAAGGGCATGCAAGTATTTAATACATATAAGCATATTTATCATTTTATTTCATGTGTAAGAAAGTCATTGTATAAAAACAGATTACCTTGATTTTATAGGTTGAGGAGCACACACATGTGGGGTGGAGGGGTTTAAAGAGAGAAAAGAGAGATTCATTTTTCATGGAGGTTGTAAAGTTGCTGTCTTCTGTTTACTTGCTGATGCAACTTTGTGGAGAATTTCCAGGGAACAAAAGTATTGGCATTAAAAGGAGTGTAATATAAAACTCTGTAAACCTGATTGGAAAAGAGATAAATTCATGTCTCACATAACCTCATTCCTCCCCTCCCCAAACAATTTATACCTGTAGTGAGATTTTCAAAAGCACCTAAGTGCAAGCTGCATTGGAAATCAATAGGTCAATAGCGTCCTTAATTTTGTATTTTTTTCATTAAAGGAAGGAAGGAAGGAAGAGAGGGAGAGAGGGTGAGAGGAAGCGAGGGAGGGAGGGAAAGGAGGACAGGACAGGATAGGATCTAGTTGTACACTATTTTAATCAATCATTGCTGGTCTTGATCAAGTACATGTAACAAAGCTAGTTGCATGGTTACAGCACCCTCCGGACATCAGAAGAGTTACTTGAGTTTTACACTACAATGACTGTGTGTGGAATACAGCTCATTGACTTCTCTGGAAATGGTACTGTACAGCTAGGCCATAATTGGGTCCATTGTGTGCCACTTCCTGTGTGATGCAAGTAAAGAATACTAAAAGATTTAGCGTGGCTTTGTTTTGTCTGGTTTGCTTTTGTGAACTTAATGAGGGTGAAAGACGTTAAGCTAGCAGATCTGGAGACTACCGCTCCCATATGTTCAAAAAAGAGATAAGAGTACAGACAATGCAACATTGCAAGCTGCTCAACCAACCTACCTTATTTCTGATCTGGAAGGACCAACCTCAGAGGTTGAGAACTCAGTATATTTTTCCATTCTCAATCAGTCACAACCCTCTCTTGAGGCAGCTGACAATGGTCAATGGTCAATGGACAATGGTACAAATTAATGTCAATTGAGGTGGTGTCTTTTTGGTGACTTACCTATTCAGGCCTGGATAGAAAGCACAAAGGTATTTCACATGGTCCAGCAAAGATTCTTCAGCTAGTGGCAGTCATTGGCAATCTTTTTTCTGTTTGGGATGGGTGTGAACTTGTGTCCTGCTAGTCAAACAATTCCATATTTCACCTTTTTCTGATTTAAAATGTGAACTAAAATGCTTTTTTTTAAGTATGCTTTTCAATACCAATGTCCTCCTGAAGTTTTCATTTCAAATACCCTCAAAAATTAATTCAGTAGCGCTCATACTTCTTATTTCAAGTTTTGATATATTGTAAGGATTCAGTTGCTCCCCAACTTGTCTTATGATGCCAGGGTAGAAAGGAGGTATATTTTTAAATCCAAATGCACAGCACAGTCCATTTTAAATTTTAGAATGCATCAGAGACAGAAAGCTTTCTGGACATGGGTAAGGTTTTAAAGGCAACAGCTGCAACACCCAAATGACTGCTAAATGAGACTTTGACAGACAGTGTTTTATATTTCTGACTGTAAACCACTGAGTAAGTCAACTCTATATATATAAATGAAATAAAAAAATGAAAGGTACAGCACAAGACTGCTCCTAACAACACCTTTAACAGTTTGGGGTTTTTTCTGGATGCTGTTATTTTGAGAAGTTGCTTTGTTAAATTTCATTGACTGCTATATATTGGTGGAACTTTTTTTTCAGGCAAGTAGTGAATATTGTAGCTACTTCAGTGCTTCCAGAAATGTAAAAGCAGACACTGCTCTTGTTGTTCTATTCTAGATGCACGTGGGCTCCATATCTTGCCACAGACAGCTGACTGGGTTTCTCTGTGTTCCCAACAATACTTGTTAACTCTGGGTTTCAAAACCAAAGATGTTGGGAAGTTCTTGGAAAAGATGTCAAGTAGGAAGCTGCCCACTTTTTCAGGTACGTCAGCTTGCCTAGCAGTGTTAATACAATTCAGTGTATCACTTCCAGGGGTAGAAAACTTTCTGCACCATGGGCTGGGGGGCTGTGTAGTCTAAGTGGATTTTATTCGTCTTAGAATAACATTCTTCCTCCTCCTCACCCACTCTATGTAGGCTTTTGTCACCCATCCCTCTCAATTTTGGTGCAAGCAGATACCCATTGGGCACGTCTACATGTGCATATTAATGTGTAGCAATAAACTCCAGCACTTATTGCTCCAGAGTTTATTGCTCCTGGGCACCACATTTACACATGTGCCTGGGACCACAGCACATTGAGCTGGGTTGGAGCATCTCTGGCTGGCATGGGTCCGGGGGGGCCAGCCTGCCAGTCCCGGGCTAGTCTGACCCGGCTCAAGGTGCTGCAGAGGAGTCGTCTTAAGCAGGGGTGCTCCAGTGTGGGGCTGGCTTGCAGGCAGCCCCCGCACTAGAGCATCCTAATGCCCCAGACAGCCCTGTCAGCGTCTACACATGCAGTACTGTGGATTAAAAAACTCGGCAGCAGGGTAGTGCTTGTACCCTGCTGCAGAGTTTATCAGTTTATTCCAGACTAAAAGCCTTGCATGTGTAGACGCTGAGATGGTTACTTTGGAGCTAAATAGGTAATTGCAGTAAATGACTGGTGTAGATGCATCCACTCTGCTTATCCTGGCTGTAGAGTAGTAGTGGTGCTAAACTGGTGTTAATCATTGGGGTGCTAAACTGGTGCCCTAAATTAGTTGCCTTCCCCATCATAGAGTTCTTTAGGCAAATCACTTCGTTTCTTTGTTCCTTGATTCTTCCTTGATTCTTCCTGGAAATGGGGACAATCATACTGCCTTACCTGCATTAAAGATTATCAAGTGTTTGGATACTTGGATAACATGGTAATGGGTAGGCCTGTGCAAAGCAGAAAGTATTTGCTTTGGATTCAGATTCGGCGGGACAGTGATTTGATTCAATGATTTGAATCACTGTCCTGATTTGATTTGGCCAAATCCAAATCTGAAGATATTTGGCAGTGAATTTTATTCAGCCATAGACTATACAGGCAGATAGTGCCAGCAGGCTGAGCCCAGGCTTGAGCCGGCAGCCCCAGGAGAAGCCGTGGCTCGTGCAGCTGCTCCCCTGGCTGCCCCTGCACCGGGGTGAGGCAGGCAGTGCTGGCAGCCCCAGGAGAAATTCTGGAGGCTGGGGAGAATGATTGGGAGATGGGGAATTGAACCAGGAGCTAGGGGGAAGCCCCTGTTTGTTCCCCCAGCCCCCAATCATTTCCCCCTAGCTCCCTGATCATTCCCCCCAGGCCCCGTGGCTTCTCCTGGGGCTGCTGGCTCAAGCCACAGCTTGTCCGGCTGCTGCCCCGGCTGCCCCCACTGCTGCTGGGGTGAGGCAGGCAGTGCTGGCAGCTCCAGGAGAAGCCACAGGGGCTGGGGGAATGATTAGGGGCTGGGGGATTGAACAGAGAACTGGGGAATCAAACTGGGAGCTGGGGGGAAGCCCCTGTTTGTTCTCTCAGCCTCCGATCATGAGGCCAAATCTCCCAATCAAATCGGCTACTGAAGCTTTGCACAGCCCTAGTAATGGGAGCTATATAAGACCTATAGAGAGGTGTGGAATGATGCTGTGTGTATACTGTTGATAGTAGTAGATGCATGGTCCTAATCGTACATCTTCCCTGTAATCCAAGGGTATGATTGCAACTTGTGTAAATATGCACAGCTAGCTAACTCAGGTACCAATAACAATGTAACTTTTGCTTCATTGTCTTTAATATTTATTTAACTAGAATCACTAGCCAGCTTGTATAGCTAATGCTGTTTCTTTTTTGGTTGCTGTGGGAGTGTCTAGCTGGTAGGGCACAGCTGAACAGAGAGCGGGGAGCGGGGAGAGGATATTGAAGAGGCGGTGTAGTGTATAGGAAAAGGGTATCCCCAGTTGATGCAGTCTATGAGTTCTCTTGTGGTGTTGCCCGTGTTTTTAGACACTCCTGAATTCAGCCAGAGCAGCAGTATATTTGTAGTGAGACCTTCAATGCTTCTACTTATTGAGTTAATGCAGTCCTCTGGAACGGTGCCCCTGGGCTTCCTTCTTACGGCTCCTGTGCAAACAGCAGGAGATGCCGCAGCGCAGGGAACCTGAAACAGGAGGGAAAGAGAAGGGCAGTAGGGCATTTGGAGTGAGACTGAGGTGCAGATCCTATGAGGGACAGGTTGGATTGATGGCCTCTCAGCAGAGGGGAAAAAATAAAAGCTAGAATAAACAAAAGCACTCAGGCCCCAGTGACAGCATCGGGATCTAGAGGTCCCTGCTTCTGCTGATTTTATTGTGCTCCTGCAGACAGACTTTCTGGCTCTTCTCCAAGATCACGTGGCTCTCAGTCCACTCTAGAATGAAATGTATGGTGGCATGAACAAAAACAATACCAATATTTACTATTTCATTTCTTAGAGCACAAACATCCTTTTGGTCCTCTTATAAGAGAAGAATTAGGAAGACACTTGGAAACCATGGGGAAAAAGATCTTGCCAGTAATGGATTTTATCCGAAGCACCAAATTAACTGTGGGTATAGCATCTACTTAACAGCTCCCAGTAAATGCAGTATTAGAAGTTTGTACATGTGTGAATGACTGAGATATGTGCTTTGTGTGCATTTTTATTTAGTTGCTTCAAAAAATATTTAAATTAATATGCAACTTGATTAGCAAAAAAAAAAGTTTTTAAATTAGTGACTCTTTATTGCCACACTTTCAAAACCTATTACAAGATGCAGTAAATTTCTACCTGTACATTTTGAAAGTCCCCAGCTAACTGGACACAGTAGAGTTAGATCAACAGTGAGTGCTTAGGAAAAAACAGCCCCAAACATTTCAGTTTAGGCTTTTTCAACGTTTATCTTCACTTGCAGTTTTTTTCAAAACCTCATTCCATATTGTATTATATTCCTAATCCTAATAACGAGCCTAACCACCACAGCTGCTTGCTACGTTTTAAAATGCAGAATGTCCCATACATTTCATTAACTTCTCCATCAAGAGTTAACAACTGCAACTCAAAATGATCCTAGAGACCTAAACTTAGCCCCTAGCTGGCAAAGCAAGGAAAGCAACCTTCAAATCTGATACAGCCACATTGACAGGATTTTAGTTCATTCACGCCATACTTTTTGCAATAAAGTACACAGCTTTTTAGCACCATAGCTTTTGATTAGCACAAAAGGTCAAAAATCAAATTTGCATGTAGACTAGACTATTTTAATGCAATTCTTAAATTATTCTCCGGAAAATAAGTGGAAGAAACCTCTCCTCCACAGACGGCAAATGCTAATGTTAACATTTTTTCCCCTAGCAATAACAGTTTTCTAGTCATCTATGCCTTAGAAAAATCAAAGTCATTTCCTCATCAGGGATATCTTAGCAAATCACAGGTTTGACAGTCCTAGTTTGTGACACCAGATAGGAGGTTGTCAAAAATTGCTACTTAACAACCTCTAGCAAAGGGAAAATATTAGCCAAAGTTACAGAAAAGCTTCTCTTTGCTCTCAGATTTCTGTAAGTGAAAAACTAAGGGTCTGACCCTACAAACCTAGTGGGATCATAAGATCATAGCAAAGATCTGGAAGGGACCTCACAAGGCCATCTGAAAGTGTTCAACATCCTCAAAGATGGGCCCTAACAAACTATTTGCTGCTTAGCCCTGGGTGGAAAAGTGGCAGAAGCCTGACATACATGGCAAAGGAATTGGACATCCTTTGTTTCTACTGCTAGCATTTCTCCTTGAATGACCCCGGGCCCCATGTAACTGTTGAACATGTTAATGTAAATGGGCCTTTTCTAGAAGGTGTAGTACTATTCATCCATGACATGCTTATGTTTCTTTGACATAAGAATAAAGCACTGAAGCTTGGGTAGACTTTATGGCACTGACATTTCCACTGGTGAAATCCTCACCCCACTGAAATCATGGCAAAATTCCCATTGACATCAATACAGCCAGAATGTCACCCCAGGTGGTTTTGGGCCCTGTAGTGCCCTCAGAAGGCTTTATGAGGGAAAATTAGTTGAGAGGTGCTAATAGTACATTAATGAGGTCTGGGTTTCTCCCTCCTGTCTGACAAAGGAGAAAACTTCTCCTAGAAACATGTTTGATTTCCCTCCTTCTAGTCTGTTCTGGGAATAATTTTGGGGAAACAAGGTTCTGTGGTCTAAATAGAAAAGTTCTTCATTTAAGATCCTGTTATCAGAAACAGATAAGATATCAGATAAGATACAAACAGCTACCCTAAAGGACAAGTCAGTGAAACACATGCTAGGATTGTTTGAGTTTACAAACCGTTTTCTCAGGGGGTGTGAATTGGCATAGCCCCATTGATTTCAATACAGCAATGTTCATTTACACTAGCTGAGGCTTACCCTTGTGCATTTAAAATGACAGTTATTACTAAGCTGGATAACAGGTAAGGATACCCAAAGTGTGGTGACTGAAATCCTGGCATCATTGAAATCAAGGGCAAAAATCCCATTGTTTTCAGAGGGCCCAGCACTTCACCCGCTTCACACTGTTTTGAGAGGTCCTTCCTGAATGGCACGTAAGGCACCAAGAAACAGAATTTTAACTGGACCGAGTAAGAGGCGCATTCAAATACATTCTTAACCAGCAGCTAGTTTGCCCAAGGGGTCATACTTGGGGTCTCTCTCAAGAAAAGTAAAACCTTAGATAAAACTAATTATCATGGATTTGGCCCCAGCAGCTGCCAATCTTGCACACAACAATAAAGAAACCAGCATATATTCTTGGTGAAAAGCTGTTTTCCTTCCCTTCAGTCATCTTAGTGTAAACTGATTGTGACAAGATAGCAGCCCTGACACAAGATCAGGTTGTAAAGCAACCTAGGCCTGACAGTGCAGAGACAGGACTGCTCTGCTATCCCTGATTGAGGCTACTTTCTAGGCACTGCAGAAATTGGACACTTCCATTTGCCTGCAATTATTCCAAGTTTCTCTTAAAACTACAAGATTGACCTGTTGTTTATCTCACTCAAAGGAAACAAAATCTCTTTTTGGAATGAATCTGCTTTACAGACTGCTCCCCTTCAGTTACTGATATTACTTGTACAAGCTTCTCTTAAGTGAAAAGAAGACAGAATAATTTTAGTAGGGAAAAAAGCAATGCTTACACAGAAAAGGCAGGGTTATTTCTTGTAGAATCCAAAATTCTTCTAGTTATCTTCTGATGTTCTTGGGTGAAAACGTCTCAGAGCTAATTAAACAATGGCAGCAGTCCTAAATAGACGTCAGTCCCACTACTTCAGACTAGCAGCTCAGTAACTTGAAGTTAATTATACAATTTGTACAAGCATTACCATTTGTAAGACCTGAAGCGTAATGATAAATGTACACAGAAAATATTTTACGAAACCAATTGTGATACTCTTAATTACACTCCATAGTACCTCACTACATACCCAGCCTCATTTCAAACAAGAGGACTGTTTGCACAGTAAGGTGATATTCAGAGTAAATAAGTACCATACTTTCTCACATGCAACATGCCCTCAAATAAAAGAAGCAATTTGGTTTTAGAAGGTAGAATGCAGGGAAAAAAGACTTTTTTCCAGCATTGTGGTTGACTGTGACGTCGAGTACGTCCTCCTGAAAACACAGAGGCTAGGAACAGAAATTACCCATAAACCAGTCCACGTAAGCAGTGTAAACCTGTAACAGAACAGAAGTTCAGTGCACATAGACCAGTTTCAAAATGGCAGAAACTGGTTTAAGATAGACCTGGGTGGATTTAATATCAGCTTTAACTGATTTAGATTAAACTGGTCTATCAAACTTCTGTCCAGGTCCCTCCTGACACAAGTTAACCTTGCAGTCCCTCAGCGTCCCAGATTGCTTTGTACGTCCCCCTGACAGAGCAGCCCCCTGCACCAGCCCAGCGCCTAGCTCGCCCCACCGCCAGGCTGTCACAGAGCTGAGGCAGGAAAGCAGGGCAATGTCGGGGGCGGTGGGGGAACAGAGCCTGACACCCCAGCTCTGGCCACAAAGCCCCAGTTTGCCCCGCTGCAGGGAACTGAGGGGAGCTCCCTCCTCCTCTCCCATTCAGACAAGTGGATGCTTGGCTCCGGAGCTGCCACAGGTGGGTGTGGGGAGCAGTTTTCTGGCCGGTGCCCCCCCACTTTGCAGGTCTACCCCCGTGGTGGGAGCTCCCCATGCCCCCATGCTGCACAGGCAGGGGCACCCAGTCTGGGAGACTGCTCCCACCCTGAAGCAGTATCTGAGCCAAGCAGCCATGCTGGGGAGGGGGGACTGGGGGAATTCCCCTCAGCTCCTCACAGCAGGGCAGCCCCAAGCTGGGGGAATCCCAGGCCAGGGCAGGGAAAGCCTCCTAAGGTGGGGGCTCCCTCATGCCCCTACACCCAGCTGCATGGGCAGGCACCCAGTCTAGGGGACCATCCCCTCCCTCCCACCGGCAGGGGTGGGCCTGAGCCATAGCCCAGCCAAGCTGCATGGGGGAGGGAGGAGGGAACCCCCCTCTGGTCCCATGAGGCAGGGCAGACCAGTGCTTGGGGTTCCCTGGGCCAGGCCAGGGGAAACCCCCTTAGGCAGGGGCTCCCCACAAGATAGCCCAGCATTGGGATGGGGGGCTCCTCAACCACCTATAGGGGGAAAGCAGGAGGTTGGGAGCATCCACTAGCCAGCCAGTTGGGATGGCCTTCACTCAGCTGGGCTCAGCAACGGCTGGCAGGCTGGAAGATGTTCTCTCAAGAGCCTCAGCTTCTGGCCTGGCCTAACGCAGGCATCTGGCTGCCTTTCCTAACTAAAAAGTGAACATCAGTTCAGTTCATTATCAATCCAATCTATACGGCTTAGAGAAAGCTGCAAAGATTGAATCGATTCCACCTTGGGCTTTTTGACTGTCTGTACTTAGCCAGAGCATCCAGGAAGTGCATCTATCCATCAACACTTGCACTAGCCTCAATCAAGCTCATAGTTTCTTCGTTTTTTGTGGACAGCTCTTTTTTTTTTTAAATGGACTTTATGGACAAGCATTTTTAAGCTTTTATTTCCATACTGCCCACACATATATGGACTGTTAACAATCCTGTGCTTCAGGCACAAGCGCTAGTGCCCAGCCACTAGCTATGGCTGTGACAGGGTTAACGCAGGACTCCACCCCTTCAGCTTGCCGAGTCAGAAAAGCAGCAGTCATTTTGACAGCTCCCACGACATGCACAGTGTCTCCAGGTGAGCTTCTTTTCCAGTGAAGAAAACAGTTTCCATGCTTACTTTTGGGGGCAAAAGGTGCATGTTGTATGTAAGAAAATACCATATATCACACAGTACTGCTTAAACTGTAGCATCTCCAGCTGGTGGTAAGAATTCTTTAAATATGATCTGACTAGATATTTTTACCAAAGCAAAACATTCCCTTTATTCCTTTCCATTCTCTACAAGAAAAGAATCAGTAAGGCATTTGGATACTCATACTCCAGGGTCCCACTGTGAACCCCTTGTAAGCTGTTACTCAAACAATAAAAACCACTGCACTAGGTTCTG